GTATGTTTGATTACGTCACGTCCACGATCGTGCCCGAGCAGCCCTAAGTATTTTGAACAGTATTCGAAATTGAGGAGATTTTGGTTCCGTTCGTCGCTAAATTTGCCCAAGCTACGATCAAACCATATTATTTAGAAAGAGAAATCTTTGTGAAAAGATGTAATCGAATTTGTTTTGGCGTACGAGAAGTTTGAGCGGAGATATTTGACTTTGAAGGCGATGCGGTCGTGCTGCCAGTGATTAGCCTTTTACTGTTATATTATATATAAATGAGCACACACAATGTAGGCCACAGAAAATGTTACATCAACCGCTCTAAATGAGTTCATGGAGTAATTAAAAGAATGCAAAGGTATTATACTATTATGTCAACTATATTTTATTGTTAAAATGTATTTATTTGACTAATTTAAAGGTGCCCTACAGTCTGTATGTAAACAAAGCCTTTGTTTACATTTTTGTGTCCAAAATATTGAGCTTTATTCGACAACTATTTATATTTTCAAGCTTGTAGAGTATAATAAATGATCAAGAAACAACAATCAGGCTTTGCAAGAACCCAAAACATAGTTAAACTGTTTGTATCATAAAAAGTGGGCTCCTTTGTGCACATGCGCAGATCGGACTGTAGGGCACCTTTAAGAATGTTTTTAAAATAGTTTTGGTTGACTATAAATTTGTTTATAAAAACCGTTAAAAACCCGCAACACCTGATCATTCATTCTGAGATTGGGCCGCCTGTGGGTAGACTTTTGAAATTTGAGCATCGATCAAGACTCGGTTGGCGTAAAGTTTGTTATATTTTATAATTAAACACAAGCAGGACTATTTTAGAAATTCTTTTTTCATTAGAACGGTTGAACTATGGAACACTCTACCGTCTCTTCAAGTCTCATCTTCATAAGTTGTATTCTACTAAGTTATCGCATTACGTACCTCCGGGCACTGCGTGATCAGCGTCTACACATTGCGATTTGTTGAACCATCATCCGGCCATTTTCATCATATTTACAAATATGTTATAAATTGACTCGTGATTTCCAAATTGATTTTTGAATAATTCATAATTGTAATCTGTATAGTGGATAAGTCGCAATGTGTAAACGTTCAGTACTTTTATAGTCGAGGTTGACTAATGTGCGAGCCTTCGAGCCGGAGCCTTTCATTTGCGAGTCGGAGCCTTTCATTTGCGAGTCGGAGCCTTTCATTTGCGAGCCGCAAACCTCTCATTTGCGAGCCTTTATTTATACCTTTACAAGCCCGTCTAATCTCTATATTTGAGATTAGAATTATTTTCATTTTATATTCAGAGCACATCCTATCAAGCGGTATCATTATTTAGTAAAAATGAATGCGTTTTAAATTAATCATGTCTCGCAACATGCATTTGACTTGAGGTTTCTGGAACTAAACTAATTTCAGAAATAACAAATTGTTTTTCCTCAGAAATTTACGAACCTGCCATCATATTTAAGACTATCGTGTTTCACCCTGACTCTATAGCAAAACAATCCATGCTATAGTATATATATGCTATATATATGCTATATTTCCAGCGAAGTAAATATGGCTATCCGGAAGAAACGTTTAGAAACCTAGTTTATATAAATGCACGTTTCATGGAAGCTCGAAAATGGTGGTATCAGCGCCCAAATTTGTAGATTTGTTGAAATTTAGCAATAAAAGCTTTATAAGTTATAAATTAAATAGTACTTAAGAAATATTCATAATTAAAGAAATGTACATTATTTATACGTAAACATATCAATCAAGAGAAATATAGTATATTTCACTTGAGCACAGCCAATGCAGATTACGCGTGCATCCAGTGACTATACATGCATGATGATATCATTTTTATTCTCACTGGAAAGAAAATCTAGCTCAGTGGTAGTGTTTTCAATTCCATTATCATACTTATTATAAGATTAAGAGTGAGAGAAGTGTACAACCTGCACACTCCACATGCAGGCACGTAGGTTCAACAGTATTTTACAAATAGCTATACAAATAAGGCCAATTAAAAATAATTTTCAGTTTTTCATCAGATTTTTTGAAAAACGGGGGGCGGGCGGGCGGATTTTAATTTTTTTATTATTTATTTTTTAATAGCGTAAGTAGTATATTTCCCCTTTTATTAAAAAACGGATTAAAAGGTTGTCTTCCATTTCACACATTTTGTCTACGCAAGAAATAGGTCAATTAAAAATAATTTTCAGTTTTTCATCGCCGCCCGCCCCTGAAAAATTGGCCGCCCGGAATAATTTTTTTATTATTATTAAATCGGAATTGGTCGGAAGTAGTCGGAAACCGAACATTGGCGGCCATATTGTTTCAACATGCCTTTCGTTGTCGTTCAAATACGAGCTGGAACACAAGTTTTGAAGCCCTGGATAGGCGTACGAGTTCCAGACAATTCTTCTTTAAATGATGTTTATAAT